CAGCTCAGGGCGCCGCCATCGGTGCCGCTGTGGTAGGTAATTCTGTCCCCCGGTAAAACTGTCCGGGGGGACAGAATTACCTAGGTAAAAGTGTCCTCTCCGGCCCGTTAATTCTGTCCCCCAGGTTTTTTTTGTCCCCCTCTTTAAACCCGGAAGGCCAGTTCTCTTTATTGTTTTTATGAATTCACTCTACAAGGTACATGTATACATTTTGGACTTTTAGTCTGCCCTTCATGAATATAAAAATATTTAATTTGGTCTATTTAATACATGATACGTGAACACAATGTTTCGATTTGGAGTACGGTGAAATCTATCGCGATTCTACGGCGATAGGTCAATCATGCGGCGATGCATGGCGATGGCCCTCGCCTCATTGATACAACGCCTACTTGGATTGGTCTGTGTTCCCATCGTAGCGCGTAACGAAATGTCCTATTGGATGAATTTCTATTGTAGAGGGAGACGCATATGTACACATGTGATAATCACTGCCACATATCTTGCAATATGTACTGGCGCGCGCGACACGCTGCTGCTCTCAGTACATACTGCACACATTAACCAGAGGGACACTTTCACCGTTGGGCAGGGGGACATTTTTACCTGGAGGGGGACAAATCTACCTAGGTAAAAGTTTCTCCCGGACACATTTACCGGGTCACGAGCCGGTAAATGTGTCCGGGGGGACACATTTACCAGGGGGGACAGAATTACCTGTCAGCACTGCCAAAAGGGTGCAAACCACCAAAAAGCTGTACACTCATTATTATGTGATACCACAGGTAATTTTGATTAAGAGGTCCTAATTACGGCCTATATTACGACAGGTTTTAGAAATATCTCTGGAGGTGGAGCATAAATTTGTGACTAATGTGGCTTCGAAGTTCCAACGCGGGGGATTTCGTTCACAAAAAATACCAACTTGTGGGCCTATTTTGCATAGAGCGGGGGCCTACATTAAGACCTGGGCCAGCAGATTGGAAACCATTTTAGGGGTGGTTTGGGGGAGGGGAATTTAAAAAAAGACAGCTAGGGCTATCCTTCGTACACTTGAAAAGAAAATTGTCTTAGGATTCGTAATCTTTAATTTTCAGTGAAAAACACATTGCCGCCTTGCTCCTGACCGTCACCAGGCGGCGCTTTTTTCCTTCCGATTTTGTGTTGTATTCTATGAGCACGTGTTGGAGTGTACCTATAAGGGTGCAGACCTGTAAATGGGTCCAGAATTGCCTACGCGGGCCAAATCACAATTCTTGCACCCTCAAATTCTTTGCTATTAGAGCATTTTGTGGGCCATATAACTTGAAGGTTGAAAGATGGGTGGAAGCCGTGACTACAAATTCGTATCCTTGTGGAGACACACACACAATAGGGAACAAAACATTGTAAAGGTCTCCACAGGGCAATTTCTATAGATGAATAGGTCTCCACAAGGTTTTCACGAAATAGATATATGGGTTTTACTCAAAAACTAGGAATTTCCAATGTGGGTTGATCTGTCGCAAATGAAAGAGTTTTAGAAAAGGGATATTAAGTCAAAATTTCAGCCAAAGAAACTAATTCTGGTTAAAATAAGAGCATTTTGAAACTTCACTTTCAAAATTGAACACTTTACTACACGAGAACAAAGGAATGTCTCCACAAGGATACAAATTTGAGAATGGGTGCACAGGAGTGTGAGCTCGTAAAAAATTCAGTGAATTTGAGCCCGGTATTTTGTGATACAACGGCCGGGCATCGATCTATAAAACCTAGACAAGCTTGGCGCGTATCGCTTAGGCCTAACATCATCATGGCGCGTGACCACAGCATTTTGTTTGCTCAAGAGGTCAAGAGGTGGTTGGGTACATATATTGCCTAATTAATCAGCAAATCTGCTCACATATCACAGACCATTCTGTTATAGACTAGGTGAATTATGAAGCGCCATACTATCCTGCAATTTGCAGAGGTATATAGGTCACTGCCAGACTTTGTTATTTCTGCTCCATATGCCGACTTTTAATGCCAGTTATCGAGCCTGAACGGTCTTACCGATTTCTCTGTGATCAGGAAAGAAATACGGATCGAACACTTTGAAGTATCTTTGGCCTACAGATATTTTTTTTTTAAGCCGAAAATTTCCTTCTTACTTTATAATAGGGACACAAATGGGATTTTAAAAACAAATTTGTTGGGTTTTGAGTAATTGCAACAAAAATGCACACAGTCGGACAAGGGTCTGCAGAGATATACCTGTTTCTACCTTTTTGAAAACCCCTTTATCGGTGACATCGGACATGTTAACCAGGAATGGAATAGATACTAAAAGGCGAATTGGATTGTTTCAGCCAAGTTTCAGAGAAGACCGACAACAGAGAACCCATACAACTATTAAACGACTTGAAGTGACGCATTCTGTGCACACAGATGCAAAACTGAGTTTTGAGAAAATTACGTTTGAAGTTGGTGGATTTTCCAATTTGCAGTTTTGTGTGCTTTTCTCTCCCAGAATTGAAAAATATATGACTGAGACAATAGCCCAGGAGTTAAATAGCCAAAAACAATTCTCAGTTCATAAAATCACGTTTATTTAGAAGATATTTATTACAAAAGATATCCGTCACTTTGTCAAAACGGAAAACCGACTTCTTCACAAAAATGAGGCATGATATACACAGCGTGCGCGTATATAAAATGTTTACATTTTAGAACGCAGATTCGTCACTTCGTCAAAACGCAAATCGTTGAGGCTTCATATTTCTAAATATAGCACACGTGTAAAATTAATGAGACTAAGTGACAAATAGAGATTCGTCCCTTCGTCAAAACGAAAAACTAGTGTGAATCACTTTCAACACTATGTGCAATTAGCGTAATTAACGAACGATGGAATGTTGTGTCTCGAAATTTGGTAATCATGTAGAGGATATCATAAAATGTTAAAATATCCCAAAATCTCAGATTTCAGAAAATCTCGGTTTTGGGCGATTCGTCACTTCGTCATAACGGTGACGAATATCCCAAAAGTCGACTGCGATTGATTCATTTTTTTCGGGAACACGTTCCGTCTCGGCGCAGATAAGTCGAATTTTGAATATCGTCGCAGGTGCACTCAGGTCGCGCGCGCGCAAAAAAAAAGGAAACTAAAAAAAAAAGAAACAGCGACTGGAATGTTCCTGATGACGGTTGCGGCTCAGACGTATAGTCTATGGAATGTCTCCTTGCACAGCAAGAGTCTATGATATGCGAGCAGATTCGGAGATTAATTAGACAAGACAAGACTACGTCTTGACTTCGAAATTCTGACCAATCAGCGGGTGCCTTCTATCGGCCCTTCCGTAACCCGTTGTTGTATTACAAAACATGTTCATTCAAGTGGGGTGTTTCATCAGTTCGACTCATGTGCTCTGGTATACGTGGGTTCGAACCCGCAACACAGACAGGGAAAAAGGTGCTTGTGTTCTTAGGCAAGACACTTTACTACAATTGTGTCTCTCCATCCTAGGCTCCAGGAGTATAGAGACCAAATTGCGCTGATTTCGCGTCGAGCTCCTGCAGAAAAATGGTCTCATTCCTGATGAACCCGCTACATAATTGCTCAGCTCAATGAATCTTCGAACAGAAATACTCTCCTAATTCGCAAGGAAGCCATTTTGGTCGTGTTCCCTTAAAGTATTTTATTAATTGTGCACTGTTGAATGGGATGGTGCCGGACTATTCATTCATTCTAGCCTCACTTTCAATTTGTTTGCAATGTGGCTTAAAACATTATGGTATGTTTAAAGACACATTTTAAATCGTTCATCAGGGCAATCTGTATTATTCTCTTCGCAAGTTCAAAAAATGAAGATATTACCTCGCTTTCAATTTAATATGGCCGGCCCATAGAACAGCTAGTGCAATCGCCTACAGAACACGCTTTAAATGAAAACACAACCTGGGTCATTCAAAATCATAGAAAAGTGTTGCCGATCAGAACGCCCAAGTGCGTGTGGAGTGCAGATGATCACGCTCATTCAACTTTATGGCAAGCGCCATATTAACACGCCGAAAGAAAATACTTCAATATAATTTCAAAAATTTCAGTTTGGATATCGGGCTGCTTGGCGAGCATTAGCAGCGAAATTACTTTTTTTATGAATTCGCCTTTCTACGATGTCATGAGAACTAATGGACCGACTCTTGTTTCACCAGTGGTAAATGTCTTTTGATTTTCTAAGTGGTAGTTTTCAGCCTCCGTACATAGCCACCCTTTACTGCATGTATTGTGAACAAGACTTAGCTACTCGTTGATCGATGGCGACCATTCAACAGCGGAATCACGTTTCACGAAGTGTGAGTTTTGGTTTTATTATTCGATCGATACTCTTTGCCATCATTACAAGTTTAGTGTCACGTACGCGCCCTCCAACGAGCAATTAAACGTTTTCGGCGCACATTGTGTTAATCTTTTTCTTCGTTAATAAAAAGCTATACCCGCGGCCGCAGCTAGCTAGATCATAGATGTTGGATCATGGAGGAATGTTCTTATTCCTCCATGGTTGGATGATGTTACAATATGAAATTACGTGATCCCCATGAACTGTGGGGAATTCCCCCAGCTGACCATCGACGATTGGTATCTGCAGTCGAACCATAGCTCCATGGTCGAACCTGGCTTGGCCTATGAATACTTTACAGGAAAGGACGGAAGATGAATTCCGGCTCCGCAAACAGTGTGTCAATTGTTAAACAAAATGTGCCTGCATGACGGCTGCCCACATGGGAAAATCTTTCTCTATAAACACGTTTTCTGTCAGTTTCAAAATGATTCTGTTATATTTGTTTTCGGCAATATCATTATCAACGGTTACTAACGACATACGATTCGATCTTCGCTGGAAATCCAAACCTTCAAAAGTCACCACTATCCTATCAGTCACGTGATGTTTCACGTATTTGACTATAATATTGGATGCATGTGGAAATCACCCTCGGGTCCTCTGAAAATAGATGGTCAAGTTCAGGCCACTTACCGGACGGTTCGTCGAAAGTGACTTCCATCCATAGTTTGTCACCTCTGTCGGGCTTTATGACCAAAACACTGTCGACATCGCCATATCTGCTCTTTTGAAAATAGATCGTTAATTTATCTTCTAAGACGGACAATTTCTTTTCAATCGACTCGGTTCTGGGCAATCCAACGTAAATTGAGCGGCGTGAAGCATCCATGACTCCTAATTGATGAGCGGAGTTGATGCTCGATCAGTGAGATCCCATGAAAGGGATACCTTTTGGAAGGGAATGTCGAACGCCAGCTCGGCACATACCGGTACAGATTTGGAACTGCGCAAATTACGACGTCCCTACCGTACCATACCACCAGCCTGCGGAGTAGTTTATGCACTTGTACTTTTTGTGCAGGCTGCAGTATAGTGATGCATTATTGTGCCTGAAAATAACGATTGCGTACAGCCGGAAATTCCCAGTGCTTGCTGGTTGGTTGGAACCTTCACGTGACCAGGTATTGCGTGCTCCGGGAATTCCCGTTCTTGTTTTGCAATTGTGCTCGATCGTGGAATTTTGATCTAAAAATATCCAGCTGTAAATACCCATTCTCCAAATAAATGCGCAATACCTGCAAACGCAAACCGTCGGCACTCGACATAGAACAGTCATTGAGTCAGTACTGTACGTATGGGCGGTTGTTCAAGTTGTGGAAGACAAGGAGTGGAACAGTTATGGTACTGTATACTGGGTGCTTTTTACTACGAATATCTTGCAAGAGCATAATAGTGGAGCACTTTTAAAGTGCATAACTGCATCAGACACGAAGGGGCTAGGTAAGTATACAGCCTCGCCATACCCCGATAGATGATGGTACAGTGTAGGCCTATTGCATCGCGTGTATACATGTAATACTATTAATAGGCTGGTGGCCATAAATATGCACACCAAAAGTTTATGAGGCGGGGCAACAATACTTTTTCAACAAGTGAGACACAAAACCGAGGAAAGAATGGTGTGGTTTGCTGGACACCATGTTATCTTTGTATACATATATGAACATTAAGTATATAAAACGTTTCCACGTCAAGTTGTGTATCAAGTCATGTCAGATTTTCAAGATCCATTTTCCAATCAAGCTTTACATCATCCCAATGCATTCTGACTAGTCTAGGCCACGCCAATGGATGACAGACAACCAAGGTAAATTGAACTGGTACAATAGCTTTGATATTTCCAGAATTGTGATCATCTTTTAATACATTGTTGCATCGGTAATGTGGAATATAACTATTAAAAAGATTTAATTTTAAGGTTATCAGAATTGAGAAAATGGGGAATCCTTTTTTAATACCAGTTACGTCCTTACCCTAAAAATGGAAGGGTCAATATTGGGCAATCAGAATCAAGACTTTAGTTCATCCACAGGGGCATAGCACGGTCATTTTTATTTGGGGGGGGGGATTTTTTGAAAAGGGCACCTGTACATCCGTTGTGAAATGTAGACAGGTTTTTTCTCCGGACATTTGGCCTCCGTAAAATCAAAAAGCGGGGGGAGGGGGGGGGGGCTTGCTGGTACCATCTCTCGATGGGGGCGCTGTTCAAAACCGACAATTATGCACACAAAGGGCCAATATATGGTGCTTTCCAGGGCGATACATGTGCGAAATTCTGAAAAAGGCACCCAAAACGGCAGATGCCTCAAAAAAGAGCACCACTTCTTTTTGAAAGGGGCACTTGTTCAGAAAAAAAAATTAAGGGCACTTCTAACAGGGGGGGGGGGGGAGCCCATTGAAAAAAAGGCATGTGAATGGGAAAAGGCAGTCTTTACAAATATTGGGGAGGGGGGGTAAATACCCACCTTACCCCCCCCCCCTTACCCCCCCCCCCCCCCCCCCCCCCCCCCCCCCCCCCCGCTGGCTACGCCTATGATCCACCACTGACCAATCAAACATTCGTCCCAGCATCTGGGCGGGTGACTGGAGTGGTAAGCCTTGAAAGAAATTTCAAGATGATTTCTTCTTCGTTTTTCATTTTAAATCATAATTCGTATATTTTATATGTACATCTGAATTGGTGATCCATTACTAATTTTTTTGTAAAGGAATACTGAAGAAACAATAGTTATAGCAAGGTTGGCAGATTGAATTCACGTTGATTTACATCACTGATTTAAATCGCAATTTGAAATCAAAAGGTTTTTTTTAATCACTGATTTAAATAATTAAAATAATTTGGTAAAATAATTTGATTGAGGGCCATTTTAATCATTTAAATCAACTGATTCCACTTAATTACAAAGTGTAAGATGTTGTTAACACATTTAAACACCCCTTCATAAGCATTACATCAACGTACATGTACATTTTGCATTTACCCAAAATCATTGTTGTGATTAAAGTCAAGATCTAAGTTAAAATTTTTCTTCGAAGTTTGAATTTTAAAGACAGCACACTCACTTTTGCTTTAATCATTCCTTGATCTGTTTACAGGACTATTGTGAATCAACTATGCTGTTGTAGGCTTACCTGAACCATCTAAAGGTGTATTAAAGGGGCACTAGGTCCTGAAATCCCCGAACATGTTATGTTTTGGATTGTTTACTTAGCCTATTTTCAAACATCTGGTTGAAAGGAAACCAACCTAATGTCTTACCGTTCCCGAGAAAAGACCAAAAAAAAAAAAAAAAAACCCGCTTGCTTACATCGGACATGACGGAGTACAAATACGTTTTTCGTGTCGTTCTCAGTGTGCGATATACACGTTTTGTGTCTCGGGACCAGCGGTAACCAATCACTAATGCAAAAAAATGGTTTATTCAACGTCCGCAAAAGGCGAACACTTTACGAATGAAATCACAACTAGCATCCAAACTGCTTGAATTTATGGGGTCGAAAAGTGGACCCCGAAATGCGTTCTCGCAAGCATAATACAGGAATAACACAAAAACGCCCAGTTTTGAAAGGATAGTGAAGATGTTTATAAATCCTACTTTTTAATGTTATTTTCGGAAAAATCCTCTCGTTCAAAGCGCGTTTGTAGCCCATTTGGGCTGTTCCAGGACCTTGTGTCCCTTTGAAGTCCTTATTCCTAATGTTTCTTCATAACAATTTGGAAAGAGATTTATATACTACCTTTTAAAGGTCAGGACCTGATTTTGTTCTCCACCTTGTATGAATGACCATCAATCAAACAATATAAGTTACACAAGGATCAGTGCTACCGGTTTTGAAATTAGAAGCGCCGTCATGAAATAAACACGCCCATGGAGAACTGCATGTATACTCCATTTTTTGTATACCATGTACACGTATCAGGAATCACTTTTTTCGTTCATATCCACACACAACGTATCTCAGCTGTCTTCAGTATGATGTACCATTGATCCAATGAGGTAGACTACATGCAGATGAAGTCAAGTGATTTTTGGCAATCACTGATTTTTTTCTTTAATGCCCATTTGTGCTTTTAAAGTTTTAACTGCTTGTATAGTTCTATATTCTTATACTGTAAGCCATGTTTTAATAATGTCCATTTGTAATGTCCTTTTGTATTGTCTCTTCTTAAATTGTGGCATCAGGAGATTAACTCGATAGTAATTTAGTTTACTTTTTAAAAATCCATCAGGGGTGCTACTTTCTTTCTTTTTTTTCTTGTTCTCTCTCCTAACTGTATGTGCATGTTTTTGTTTTCTTTACTGTTCTTATTGTCTGTACTTGAATTTTTACCTGTGAAAATAATAAATGAAATGAAATGAAATGATTCAATACAATTTATTTTTTCGAAAGCGTTTATAAATTTATTAGGTTTTGTGGATGATGGGCACTATAGAAACTGTTGTGATTGGTGTAAGGGTGCATGAGTAGTTTTAATAATAATAATAATACAATAATAATAATAATAATAACGGGTTCTTATATAGCGCTTTTAAAGTTAAACTAAGAGCAAAGCGCTTTACATTATTATTACCCCGATTATTGGGCCAATTAAACGTTCCAAATACAGGCTCAGCTCCCTGGGGAGTATACAGCTCGATGCAGCCTGTTAGGCGCAAGCAAGCTTATTCTGCCCCCACAGGTACCCATTTACCCCTGGGTGGAGAGAAGCAATGCCCAAGGGTACAAGCACCATGCCCCAGGCTGGACTCGAACCCACAACCTGCAGCTTTTACCCGAAGACCACGAATCTAAAGGCCAAAGCACTTCACACATGTTAAGACATATCCATAGACACATATTAAGACATGTTATATCCATATTTTTAAAGTTCTAACAAAATTGTATAGAATGCTGATTTAAATTTTACCGAAATCTGATTTTAATCAAATAAATCCGCATTACCCAGAGTGCAATGCGAATGTCAAAAACGGTTTATTTGTGGGTTGTAGACCGCACATCAACTGTTTAAAAGTTTACATATTTATATTTACTCAATTTGTAATTACTTATAGTGTTTTTATAGTGAGCTGTCCAACCATATGTAATTGCCTTCTTAAGGATAAATAAAGTATCTTGAATTGAATTGAAATGAATTGTAATCACAAAGACGGTAGCAAAAAAAAAGATGTTCGCGTTTTTGTGGAGAAAAAAGCATCACAGAGATTGAAAGAAGGACAAACAATTTTGTCTAGTATACCGGTACTTGGAACTGAATCATAATTGTAAAAAACAAAAGTCACATTTATAAAGTGTGACTCTATTGTAAGTGTGATTTTTTATACAAATCATTGTGTTCGTGTATTTTAATTAAAAAACCCACTATTATGTGAATATGTTCAGGTGTGGAACATTCTGGAATGTTGGTCTGAGAGGTTACATATATAAGAAAGCTTTAGGTTAAGAAGTAGACCTGAAAAAAGGGGGGTTTTCCTCGTAAGGAATTTTAAAATATAGTACTTTTTTTCCAACGATTTATATGTATATTTTTAACACATTTTTGGCTTCTGCAATCGCTAAGAAGAGGCATTATGTATTGTTGATTGCCTTTGCGTACTTAAAGATCCGCCCAGTTGGCTGGTTCTGGGTCCTTGCATCGTATCGTTTTTGTCTGAAGTTCTGGAAAGAGATAATGCTATCAAAGGTCACATACCAAGGTCAAAGGTCACCTGAGGTAAAGTTGTAAAATAGCCATTTGTTTCATTTGAAAAGTTGACGTCCAATTGGAACCAAACGTGAGTCATAGATGCAACATATTGCAACTTTCATATGATAATGCTGTCAAAGGTCACAAACTAAGGTCAAAGGTCATCTGAGGTCAAGCTGTCCAATAGGCTGAAAATGTAAAACTTGGTCTCATTTGAAAAGTTGAAGTCCAATTGGAACCAAACTTGAGTCATAGATGCAACATGGCATATGATAATGATGTCAAAGGTCGTCTGAAAGAAAACAGGCGAGACGCGTGGTTCAAGAATATGGGGGCGGGCACTAACCGGAACGTATTGTTTTGGAGGCCTCAAATATTTCGATATTGTAATGTAAAGTGCATAGTACAATTATTCCATTACTAAATGAGGGCAGGTTTTGGTTTAATGCACCATTCAAAAGTTAATAGCTTTTTCACGGTGAAACTCGAAAATAGTACAGAAATATTACATCGAGAGTCAAATAACATTATTAATTGGGTCAACAAACTGTTTACGATAACCCACATTAATGGATTTTTTTAGGCCAACCTAAAACTCGTTATTGCTACATTTGGCCAATTTGGCCAGAAAAATGTAAAATTAATAAAAGTGTCTACCCCATGGGAGTGTTTTTTTTTCGTTATTGGTTAATTGAGCAGGTTAAAGGGAATATACAACATTTGCAAACATCGAAAAATAAAACTACCAAGTTTTTGCGAAATACCTTAATAGGATGTTGGTAAATGACAGTCTAAAGCATCCTGTAAAATTATGGCACATGGTATACTGTAATTTTCAAGAAAAGTGGTATTTTGGTATCAATTTCCAACGCTGATCGGCCGATCAGCGTTGGAAACAACTGGCTTTTTTTTCAAATACTGGCCCCAATTGACCATTGCACTTGTTTGCAATCGATTACAAACCTATGAACGGGTACGAGCCAGCTAGACTGGTTCCCTGACCTTACAATTCCCCAATGTATGTAAACTGCTCTGTTTCTTCTTATATGGAGTCAGGGAACCAGACTACAGGAAAATGATCGTTTTTCTTGGTTTTTATAGCATTTTCGAACCCAAAACCTCCAAAAAGTCAGTGTAACTATATTTGCTTTATATTTCCAACCCCCCAATTCCATCCATTTCTGAAAATTACAGCAAAAGCAAATGATGTATATTCCCTTTAAACAGAATACTGTTTAATTAAGGTACCCTCAAGTAAAAGACCGACGGACCAACCCCCAAAAAGTTACAAAATATGTGCTCAATTCTGCCTTTGCCTCAATAATTATTAAGGTGATACCGCAAACAGATTGTGTGGACCTTCAATTCAATTCAATTCAAGAAGACATTTATTCCACACTCCTTTAGAGAATACATCCATAAATAACAGAAAGACTGGTAAATAGCAAAATAACAAAATCAATAAATTTGTCTCAAAAATAATAAAAGTAAAATGCGCTTAGAAGAAATGATAAACTTATTTCAATAAATGTACAAGAGAAAGTAAGGAGGCTGTTTAAGTAAGCCGAGGCTTGTACAGAGTGTCTGCCTCTTTACTTTCAGATGCCTTGAGAATGGTGTACATTTAAACAAATGTTGACTAATGTTATGTGGGATATGACGTTTTCACACCCGCCCCATACGACCGGTGGGTGCTATGTGCCCCGAGGCAGTTAAAAGCGGCATATCCCATATAAATAATGACAGGTTTGCGGAAACACCATGTGCGAATAATTTCTCAACTAAGAGAATGGTTCTGAAAAGAACCAGAGGTATAAACTCGACGTTCCGGTCAGTATGCTCTGACCGTCTTCAGGAGAAGACCGTCTTCACTCTCCTGAAGACGGTCAGAGCATACTGACCGGAACGTCGAGTTTATACCTCTGGTTCTTTTCAGAACCATTCTCTTAGTTGAGAAATTATTCGCACATGGTGTTTCCGCAAACCTTTCATTATTTAGTATCTACACCATGCAAAGCCTCAAATCTTACTTATATCCCATATATCACATCTGTCAACAATTGTTTTGTTATATTGTACCAATAAGTCAAAAAGATAACTGGTTGAAATTTGCTTTGCCAGAAATAGATGAAATCAATGCGGTGTAATATTTGCAGGCTTTATTGCCGAACATGAGACCGAGTGCGGTTGCGCATTAGGCTACATTGCATGCATTGTCGCCCAACAACGCACATTGTATGATGTTAGCCATATGCTTTTTTTAGCTATATTAATTAAATATAGTTCTATCATTTTAAAGACTAGACACGTTGTGTGTAGTCTAATTTCAATGGCCGTTCTCGGCCATTGAAATTAGAGTATCCAAGCCCTGATATAACAATGTTAATTATTAACTCGTGCAGCACAATGTCCAACGATGTTGACTTTAAGCCTCCACTCGTGCACGAAATGTTCACGTGACTGAATTACTGTCTCCAAATGTTAAGTATACAACGTGAATCACTGATTTAGATTGTTTATTGTTGATTTTTGCGTCCTTATACGTAAAGGAGTATACATTGTATTAATGTTTAAGGCTGCACCAAAGAAGTTAAAAGTCCTTTTTTTTTATCCTGGCACTCAGTCTGGTACCGGTATGAAACAGTTTCCCGAACCATGGGGGGTAGCATGTTGCCTGATCTTTATCCAAAATGTACATCATTACATTGTTTGATAAAATACTAATTCTTCCCTTCATAAATATCCTTGTAGCCTGTTCATCCTTCATCATCCTTCATGTCCTTGTAAGAGAGTGAGAATGTTAAATGAGTACCGAAAAACACTTGAATGATTGAGTTGTGTCCCTTTGCTTAAGCGTCAATGAGAACACTAAAAAGTGGTTTGAAGCCCGACCTAAAAAGGCCCAAGGCTCAAAGGCCCTTTTTCTATTCACACACCGCATCTCTTTCCACCATTGACAGTATTGTGCTTATTGTATGACACAGTAAGCATGAATTGTATTTTGTGAGAACTAACATGACACGAGCGATTACAGTTGTTTTCATTTTCGGAAGCTAAAAACCGTGCATCATGTATAGGCCTATCAGCTGGTTTTCGTAACATTTCTTTCCTGTCACAACTTCCGCAAATTAACAATTGAACGGTTTGTTTTGTGCACTAACTTGGAAAACATTGTTTTACCTTTTCTTAATGAGTAGTAGAAGTAAGGCATCATGGCGAAGAACGACGTGGATCATGTCGAGCTCATTGAGAAGGCCCTCCTAGTGCAGAACCTGAAGTGCCTTGGAGCAGCTCCTCAGATGTCCGATGCCGTGCTACGGGACAAGCTCATTATTCATTTTCAGAAGAAATCCAACCATGGTGGGGATATTCGAAAAGTGATTTTTCCTTTGAACTCTGTAAAAGAGGATGCCATCGTCATTTTTGCTGATGCCAAAGGTAAGACTACTAACAAATAAGAGAAATGACTCGCTGAAGCGCAAGGCTATATATTTCCAGCACATAAATTATTATATTAACATGATTGCATGCAAAGAAAGTGGACAAAGCAGCACTTTTAATTTATAAACTTCTGTTTTTAGTTTTGTGGTTACATCCATGATCATTTTTTTCCAAGTATGTAATGTATTCAAGTGATATAGGAATAGAGTCACAGAACAAACTAAAAATGGAACAAACTGGCCACCACTCTTACAAACGAAAATGCTCGAGTCTTATTTTTTTGTAAAATGATGAGATGTCTTTTCGAGCACTTTGCCAAGAGAAATGTTAGGGAATTGTTCGATGTTCACAGGAACGTATTCGTTACTTTTAGGATACCTAATGCTTTTATGTTCCGCTCAGTACTTGAAACTTCTCACAGAATGTGTTTGTTACAAAATTAGGGTTTGAAGCCTTGGGAATCTTTATATTTTACTTTGCTACAGGATTTGTATTTGTGACGGACATGGGGAGAAAATGTACAATTCATACCAGTTCGGCACTGTTGCCATATTGGTTTTCGAGCGTGGTTTTTTTTTTTTTGGGCTTCCCTCATAAATTAAAGCCCTGCCCTCTTCACACCAAATTAAACCTACTGATATTCTAGAAGAAGTCATTACCAGCTGTTCAAATGCATCAAGCAATATCAGAATGTCACTTTTGGTGTCATTTAGTCAGCTGGTTTGGTGAGTCTTGTAACGTTTATGGGAGCGGTGTCCTAAAAGTAACGACTACCCAAAGGAATTGATATATCTGGTGTAAAGTCCATTTCTTTTCAAACAAATAATTCAGTTTTGTTGTTTACTTTGTGGTTTTGTAGATATGTTGTCTGCTGCTCAGCATGAACACGTGTTTAGAAGTCATCCTTTAAGGGTTAGAAGGTTACCCCCTGTAAGTATATTTTTATAGGGCATCTCCTTTTTCTTCTCTGATTCTCATTTCCGACTGACCTATATTTTGGGCTCGCATCCCGACCCAAGAAACCAAAAAATAGTACACTGTCTATATATTACACTAACTAACAAAGAAATAATGAAAAACAAAATGAATATTATAAATGATCAGATAATCGGAATACTTTTTAGTCAAAACGAATACTTATCCGTCATTACTCGAACGTAAATTAAGGAGTGCAATTCCATATCAAGGGTCTACAGCCAAAATGTTAGTTAGGTGCATGGTGGAGATAAGTCAACTGCATCTTGCCTAATATGGCGTTGTTATTTTGTTCAGTGATATCAACTTATGAAATTTCATTGCAATAAATAAAACAAGAGACAAAACGCAATTGACATCGTTTAAATTTAGCCACCCCGTATTGTGCAACTGATTTGTTTTGGGGGTTTTATAGCAGAGTTTTATTTATTTTTTGTTATCCGAACGACCGATCCTACATCATAGGCAAAAGTACCAGAAGCATACAAATAAAAAGGGATACCCTTATAATTGTGAAAAGCATTGGTACCGAATTAAATAGTAAAACTAGGCGTCATTATATGGTTTTGCCACATTTAGCGAAGTTCCGGTTAATGGCAGTGAAAATGTTACCATTAATTATGCAACTGATGTTTTGTGTATTTTTCCTTTTTACTCATTAGGTATTTACAGTCGTTGAGGCTAAGATTGACCCTCTCTATTTCAATATCATGCCTCTTGATGCATCAACTGAATTTTCTGAAAGGATAGAAAACTTGGCCAACGTCGAAGTTGATAAAACCAATGCCGGCAAGATATCTTGTTCGCAACCTTCTCAATTGAAGCTTGTTGAGAGAGAGATCTGTGGACTTGTAATGAATCGTGCAGCAGACTCTGTGTCGTCCGAAGATGATGGATGTGAGGCAACCAGGGCTTCCAACTTTGGTTTTGAGTCCAGTCCTGTGCAGAGAGCCCTAGAGAAGCATTGGTATAAAGAAGACGATGAGATGGAAGTCGCAGACGAAAACGAAGAACGTAGAACCACTGGTTCTTTGTCAAAGCAGTCTGATGAGCCTGAAGATTTTTTAGGTGATCATTCTCCCAAAATGCAACTCGCTTCAACAAGGGAAGAGCGCGATGACATGTCAGAAAAGAAGCAGAGTTCTGCTCAACACGATTTAGCACTTCTGGAAACAGATGCTGAAAAAATCTCTGGGCATCTCAAAAACACAGACCATGTGGTTCTCGACAAGTGCACTTACGACTACCTAAAGTTATTTGAGAGTGCAACACTCAACAACATATTGAAACGAAATAGGGTACAGATAAAGGTTGCACCAGGGAAAACCAGCGAAAATTTAGACGGTTTTATCTTTCCCTCAAGCCGTAAAACCACAGATGAGAATGTTGCTAAGGCGAAGGATGAGTTCATATCGTTTTATCAGGAGGTTCACTTTGGCATAGAACGGAAAACGATTGACTGTTCGTCTGCTGATTCAGCGAGTATTGGGAAAGCAACAGATGAGACACGTCATCAGTTCAAGGCCGACGCCCTGATCACCAAGGTTGATGGGTCTCCTAATCTTCGTCTCATTCTTAGAAGGGGAGATGTGGAGGAGGTGGCTCGACAGTTTCGTAAGATCGCTGGTATCAAGTCTGGAAAGACACTGCGCAGCGCAGGGGCTGGTGTCCAAGGTACCGGGGCTACAAGTACTGGCATTGATAAAAGCATAAGATTTGGCAACTGGAACCCGGAAGTCCAGTCACCAGATGATCAACAGAATAGGCAATCGAGTCATAACCCTCGACTGAAAAGTGAGTCACCTAATGATGCAATGGACTTTATAACCAACGAGGGAATGCACATTGTAATTCGCACGGGAGACATCACCAAACTGACCGCCAATGCTGTCGTCTGTCCAACAGATCAGCATCTCAAAAATGAATTTGGTGGAGTAGCAAAAGCAATCATGGATGCCGCTGGTCCCGAATCGAGGCAATACTGTCACGATTTAATGAAGACACGTCATATAAAGTATCTGACGATTGCTGAGTGTATTGTTGCACCGGGATTCAAACTCAAATATAATGCGATTATATACGTTTGTGGACCTACTGACCCCGTTTCGGCACGTTTCGGTACAGATTTGTATGTCACATTTCTTAGCTGTCTACGCGCTGCTGAAAGTGGCAAGATGTCATCCTTGGCAATACCTTTAATCGGTTCAGGCACCATTCGTTCTCCGAAGTCGTTTTGTGCCGGTGCTCTTGCTCAAGCTGTAATCGATTTTAGTCGAGAGTCTCGTGGGTCGAATGTTGTCGGAGAGGTGATCTTGGTTAACATCGATGAGGATTCCAGTAACGCCATTCAACAGTCCCTTCAGACGGTTTTCAGTCCACTGAATTACGCCCCACTTAATGCTAGGCACATGGGTGATTCAAATAGATCAGCAGCCGTGGGAATTGGCGTTTCACAATCTACTTATATGGATCAAGGGAAACCAACAAGGGTAGACCGAGATACACCTCTAATGTCATCAGGAAGCCACCACTCAGCTCCAGATGTTGGATGCGACAAAAGGCTGAAACAGGGGGACTCAAAAAGGCAGGTAGAGAAAGAGCATCATGGCATTCACAAAAAGCCCGAAAATCAGCATCTAACGGTGGAGGATTGGCCCACACTGCAAGAGTCGAAGGAGCCGGTTAAGAAAAATCATAACGACCCTCTTGGTGGTAATGCTGAAGATGACGAAGCCTATGGAAACAGACGAGCATCTCATGGTGACCCAGCAGACAAATCAGTAGCGTGCACTGGGGATAAAGGCGGTCCATTGCATGCGAAAACACCGGCTGAATCTGCCGATGATCAGAAAGATGAATGCCCTATTTGCTTGGCAGATAAAATGATTGACGCAGTGGCCCTCAGGTGCAAGCATCGATTCTGTAAATATTGCATCGAGAAAGCGCTGAAGAGCAGTTACAGATGTCCAGTATGCCAAGCAGTGTGTAGCCAACCAAAAGGCAATCAGCCAAAAGGAACGATGAGACACACCGCCGACAGGTACTTGCATCTCCCTGGCTACGAAAAAGATGGAGTCATAACCATAGACTATTACATACAAGGTGGCATACAATCGGTAAGATCTCTTTTTCTCCGTAGAAAAAATGTAAAGAAAATACGTATTATTGCTTATATTTCTCATTAGCAATATCATGTAATAAAACCCAGCGACATACATTGCCCAATTTACGGCTATCTACAAACGTTGCAGGAAAGCAAAATTGATTCCAATTGTTGATTCGTCAGTTTTTGTGCACAGTACAGGGAGAGTCAAAAAAAAAAGAAAACCCAAATGGCAGGACCAATTTGTTTTTAATGAAGTTGCACATTTAGCACTATTAGAATCTAGGATATGAAAGCCCAATTAAATAAGCTTTCTTTAAGTACAAGAATCATTCAAATCACGTATGTAATTTTCAAGTTACGGAATTTTAAACACAACCACCGTTTTAAAGTTCTGTCTACGGATCACACAGAAAGTAAGTTTTTTTTTTTTCAGCATTACGAAAAAATTCAAACAGGGATCTGTGTGAATTATTTTCGTTTTGATGAAAGAAGTCGCATCTGTTTCCTTTTTTTCTTTCCTTTTTCTTTTTCTTTTTGCTCACCCTGTGTAATTCGAATTCTGCCTTATGCGTCTCGGTATACAAATCTTAATTTCATATTATCGGCCCTGTTTTTTTTTCTTAGGCTGATCATCCCAACCCCGGAACGTATTTCATCGGCATCACCCGAACTGCATATTTACCTGACAACGCAGAAGGCAGGGAGGTCCTAGGCCTTCTGAGAAAAGCATTTGATGCAGGGCTCGTGTTCACGGTCGGACGGTCGGTCACCAGCGGTCAAGAGAACATCGTGACCTGGAATGACATTCATCATAAAACCAGCATGTCTGGCGGACCGTAAGTTCAAAACAGAGACATGTATAAGTATCTCAAATAATGAACAAAAATTGATCCAAAATCGTTTAGATCGTAAAGGTATCTGTGGGTGTGAACAGTTCACTGATATTTGTCTAGTCCATAATTTAATCGCAGCACCACTTAAAGAGGAAATCATTATGCCAAAAAGGAGACAATGCACCTTTAAAAAAAAGAAACAAATGAAAAACTGTTCGCTAAAATATTAAAAGTCTTAAAACAAATAAGACTTAACCGAGTCGTTAAGAGAGAGAGAAACAACAAACGTTTGACAGTAAAATAAAATAGTTGACATATTTAACAGCATTTACTTTATTGGACAAGATGTTATCTGTTTATTTCAGACAAAACTATGGCTACCCTGATCCTGGCTACCTTAAGAGAGTGAAGGAAGACTTGGCAGCAAAGGGTATTAAGTGAAGTTCCCTACGTGAAGGTGACACGCGAACTGCATGGCTTCTTTGTCTCGCATTGCAACTTAAAAACAACTGGAATAATCTCAAAATAGTTAATACCAGTTATACAAACATTCATTCAGCTTGATTAAGGGCCAAGTAAATTGTTTATATCAAATGGCCGTCTATTTTGCTGAACCATCATTAAGAAATGTGTTCGTTTAATTTTAGATATCAGTCAACCATAAAGGCTTGTTTCCGTACATTGTAGCCTTAAACTGTCATGATACTCCAACGAAGTTCTTTTGCAAAATGTTTGTAAATATCGACAAAAGTCATGTCGCAAAAATGTAACTTGAATGTTGAAGTACATGTAATACAGAAGTACAGTGCATATAATCATGTAGTACAGTTATAATTAATTGATGTGTGTACAATTAAGTATCCAAAAGTTCATATCAGTGTCTATGTAATATGACGTTTGAAAGTAAAAGTACAACTTGTAATAGTTGAAGAAAGCTAGAGAAAACTCGTAAAAGTCTAAGTAGACAAAAAAAAATGATGTGGTATTGGTATATTTTGCGTACTGCCAATCTCCTCATCTTTCGATCAATTATGTACAATAGGAAGTGAACATCAATTAATGCTGACAAACTGCTTTCAATACTGCACTGTAAGCATCAAAGTGTCATCAAAGACTTGAAAATTACAGCAAAAGCAAATGTTGTATATTCCCTTTAATATCAATATTAATATTGTACGATCTATGACATTACGTAATTTTAAAGCGAATATTTCAATCAGTTTGAAAGATCGTTCTCGTAATGGTAAGGTTTGTAGTGTAGACTTTCATAATGGCAGTGTCAAAAAAATGCTTTGACACTATTCCTTTAATGTGTGTTACGCGATGCAATATGAATCGATTTGAAATCGATTTGCATGCTTTGAAGAATGCAAATCGGGCTATTTGACTTTATCTTGCAAATTCGAGGTTAAAACAGTGAAATGAATGTACAGTTTCGTTGTTATTGTTTTGAAATGAATGTATATTATGATAGTTGTGGTTTAAGCTCATTAACAAAGGTTTCCACCTGGTGGATGATGATGATGATCCTGATAATAAGTAAAACAAAAAAAGAAGTACATACTATGATGGAGATACAAACAAGCAAACCCTGGTTTTATTTAACCAGACTTAGTACATGTATTCGTAAGCTTTATGAGAAATAAGACGGATTGTGTTTTTTTTTTCGTTTGATTCATAGTTTTTTTTCATATAGTTTGCCTGCATGTCAAAATGAACTTGTATAAATCGCTCAACATTATAGTGCTTTGTCATGCGATATTATTCCAGGATATTAAGGTATACACCAACGATATTTTGCATGTCATTCGATATACAAATGTTTGCAACATAAAATGAGTAAAAGGGGCATGTTTGTCATTTGATGTCTGACCCCATATCATTTCAATTGAATTTAATAATAAATCATAATAAGCGAATGTTGACAATACAATACAATACAAAAACAGGGAAAGCATTCTGTTAATTTCTTGGGGTTTTTTTGAGAGAAATTTCCCATTGTATGTGAATGACTATAGCCACTTTATATTAGGGCTACAAAGGCTAGGCACGCAGGATATTTTCAAGATTTTTGGGGTATAGTTCTTAAATTCACTTTTGCACTAACTTTCGCCTCGTATTGTATCTTCCAGATATTTATATTCAGTTCAAAAACTGAAGTCTTAAAACAATCCCATGATCTTATAGACAGTTTGGATAATTTTTGATTTTACAGTTGCAATGTCCTTTGATAATCAAACAGCTTGCAGAATATGCATTGTAAAACAGTTGTAACACATAATCAGTGGGTCATGTATTTCAGCCAAATTTGGTATTTCAGTGATATTTATGTTGACGAGAAAATCCTGTAATTACTGAACCGAAATTGTTTAATTCTTATTTTTCCTATGACGACCTTTACAGTATAGCTTCGATATATCTGTAGTAATGTGTCTTAAACACTGCCTTTAAAGCAAATAGTGTTATTACACTCTAAAAACTACGTTTAGCAATTAAACACAATCTTGCTATCACTTTGTAAACAGATTTAGGTGGTAAACATTACGTGTCCAAATCCTAAATATCAATATTCAATGGTTAAACACTACATGTATATCCATCAATATTCTAAACATGTTTAGTGCTGAAACGTTTTTACAAACTGATAGCAAGTGTATAGAAAGTGTTTCATTGCAGTGTAAAGTGTTTAGTTGGCAATCATTAATTTTGCTACATAGTATTTGAATTGCTGTAGATTTAGATATCGGCTTCCTTTCAGTGTGCATTGATTTATGGAGATTTGTATACTTGCTGATTATATTTCATTTTGTGAATCATGTCAATTTTCGGAGAGTAGTTCAGTATATAGGGCCTACAGTCTCTTGAAGGATCTTGTGTGCAGATACGAAGCATTTATACACATTGGGTGCAAAAACAAATAAGTTTGGTTTGTAAGATTGCATTAAAAGATGTGCTGTCCGTGCTCTCTAAACACGTTTTCAACATGCATTTCTTGTTGAACCCAAACTTTTTCGATTGACTATTTATAAAAACCCATCTTTTTATTAAGGGCGCTTTTGCGCACAAAAAGATCCACCATGCGAGTAGACTGGTTCCCGATCCGTACATTTTCGATATTGATAGCGGACGGGAACCACTCTGCATGCTTTGCGATTACCGAATTATTGCACCGCAAATTATACGAAATGTGTATAATTGTTCCATAACATAATTAAAGGTAGCCGATTCTTTCTTTCGATATCTCAATTAAATAAAGTAAATAACTTTTGTATTGCTTAAGAAAATAGCAGTTTCAGTCACATTTTTAAAGACCAAATTGACGTCTCGAGTGAGTAATGAATTGTGATTCGGAATTGTGGATAAGCAAACCACGTGGTGCTGTAATCTTGCCATTTATTGGCCTAGGGCCCCGTGACGTGTTCTGTTTATCCAAGGCATTGTTCATGAGAATTTGCGCATGCGCGAGTGAGAAGTTAACTTGGCTTATTGTCTAGATGAAACACGAAAATAGCACGCACAGTCAATTTTAAATCAGTTGGAAAAATGACTATTCTATGTGGCTGCCGAACAAACATTAATTTTCTTTAGTACAAAAAAAACGGTCGCTTATAGCCAAAAAAAACCAGTTTACTCGCCAAAAATCATGTGATATTTTTGGTTTTCATTGCTTAGATTTCAATTTTGTATGCAGAGTTTCATCTTCGAGAACTGATCGAGGAATTGAGGGATAAAAAAAAGAAAACGCCCTCGTAATGGGCATCATTCTGATCAACGAAACCTCAAGATTTTTTTTTTAATTTAAAAGCAATCACGCATGATGTTGGTGTTCATTTTCCGTTCAAGAATCAGCTCTCGAAACTGGCTAAACTCTGTATTCTTTTGATATACATATTCCCCATTAGTTGACGTATGTATACTTAATTGAAACGCTGCAATAAATAAAAGCCGCTGCATCCCTTCGTCTGTGATATTTTTTTGTCATGCTTCCTGTTTTTTTAAAGCTAATCAGGATTTTATAAGTGTCGACACTCCAGTTCTGTAGATCATCATAATTGCACTTGATTTTGCAGTGTACTGCAGGGCAAGGGCGGATCCAACGAGGTAGTTGGGTGAATAAATTATCTCCCCCCCCCCGTAAAAAATACACACTTGTGGGTGTGCATTTGCCTACAATCTGGGAACCCCTATTGTCTCTCTTTTGTTTACATCCATACACTTGTGGGGAAGGCTTTTGTTTTTCTTTTTCTCCTTTGCTCCCTTATGGGGCAGATAGACTTCGAAGTCTCCCTTGTAGAGTCTATATAAGGAACCGTGTGTATGTAAACCCACTCCTACGATCAATTTTTACATAATGGAAAAATCCCAATTCCCTTATCTCTGCATATATTCAATATTACAGAAGTAAATTCATTGCTTCTGGCCTTTGGTCTCTTATTGCGTTGAACCCAATGTTCACTCCTCATCCTACCCACCACCTTGAAAATATCTCGGACTTCATCAACGACTGAGCTAACCCTTTTTGGAACTCCTGGGTCTACCACTGAGGGGGTATCTTGGGAGAGATTGCACACGGTCCACTGCCGAACCCTTACGTTGTGGGTTTATGATTTGCTAAGGAATTAGACTTAAGGATTGGTCGAGCTGCCTTCCGTTTAGACACTACTTCAGGAACAGAGTACAAGGTACAGAGGTTCGGTGTCTGTTGACTGATCATTATCTCATTTTTTTAATATAGTCCCTGTAGGTGTTTGTGAACTTGACAGTGTTATCTATGCTTGGCCGCCTTTGCGGCAGAGTAATTGCTGCGGGCGAACACTATTTAAGCTCTGGCAGGAGCTTCTACATGTCACTTGGTGGTCGGTCGGGTCTGTCTGTCCAAGAAAACTGACCAAAAGTATGCCTGTTCCATATGTGCCGTCGGCGTCGCTTTTTTGGCGTCGCATTTTTTTTTTTTTTTAGCTCTGACAGGATCGTTTTATTCGACTGCTATGTACTGACACAACAACGAATCACTAAAGAAAACAACATCTACGACAGCAAAATATCAAACATTCTGGCAGCTTTTGTTGCTAAAACAAGTTGTAACTTTGATGTTTCTGCCTGAAATTACATCACACTTTTGCTCATGAATCTGGAAATGTGCTTCAGGATAAAAACCGAAAAGGCAACTAAATACCCTTGAAACGGCAACCGAAATTGAAAGTAGGGATAAATGAGACACAGAGGTGTTTTCAAGGATTGCATTAAAACAAATACATTGCAAGGGTCCTTTAAACCTGTGGCACCAAAAAATGTACAATATCCACTAAGCTGAAACCTCAACGGATGTTATGCAACCCACTTACCATTCTCGTCAATGTTGCTGCTTAAAAAGAGAAAAATGAATAAAAACAAATGATCATATGCTTTTAAATACGCCAGGAATCAAGAAACTGCTTTTAGGCCAAAAAAGTCTCCGGTTTCTGGTATGCGCGCGCGTCGCCGTAGCCATGCGCGTCGGCAAAATGAAAAAAAGTTTGTTTTTTTTTCAATGAAAGATGATGTCTCAAAACCGCCAAACTCACTGACTGGAATCCTGCTGCTGCACATTTTTAACGTGTTGTTAGATTGGGTTATGGTCGAGAATAAGCTTTATGTGGCCTCTCTGGTTTAGTCGGGCACCATTTGCAGTCATCAGCCGACACTTGAAGCAAAAAAAATCAGGTAAAAAAAGAAAAAAAAGCCGCGTCGCCGCACCACTTTTTGGGCAAGCTCCATACCAGAAACCGGAGCCTTTTTTTTTTTGGCCTTAGATATTATCACAATTATCAGTGAATGTTGTTTACAGTGAACTTTTGTCCTAATTGCTTTAATAAACATTTAATTGTAATTAAATTAAACTTAACGCATTCCTCGATACAACATTCCAGATGACAGACCTGTATTTGTCGCGCAATGAGGCCAACTTACTTTTTCCAAATTTCGAGGGTAAATTGATTTAGTGACTAGTCTGTCACTGACCTTACTTTGGTCTGATGAGGATATCCGCCATACTACAATGAGTCATGTTGCACTGGTACCGACAAACGGCGCTGGATGAAGTTATAGCCTGTAGGAATATTTTTTCCCCAACATAAAACTCATAAAGTGTTTCGGCCTTCCACTGGTGTTGTGATTACTTGAAGATATAGAACGACCATTATCCATGGAGGAAGGAAAACGTGGTACCTTGAGAGACACACTTGAGGCAACCTCAGACTGAGCAGTCATTTTCTGACACCTCCAAAATAGAAAACTGGCATTTCCGATCCTTTTGCTGATCGCAAGGACGATTGAGCTTACTGATTGCAAGCTCGCAGCTAACCAGTGTAGTGGATTCTGCATGATCGTAGCGCATAATAGACGGAAAAGGAAGTGCTGAAGGAATATCAGGATTATCTACAAGGTCTCACCATATCTAGTCTAGATTTATTTGCAAAGCGGCCAACAAGACGCTGTAGACCCACAAACCAACCCGATGGCTACGAGCATCCCATGCAGACACTTCCACTGATAGTACGGAGACCAAACAGTGTCCGATATGCTTGGCAGAGATCACGGGCGACGAGGTAGTCCTGGACAAATGCAAACATCGATTCTGTAAATCTTGCATCGCACGAGCATTGAAGAGCAACTACAGGTGTCATGTATGCCGCAAGGAGTGCGGTGAGCCCAGGGGTAACCAGCCCAATGGAACAATGAAGAGTGAGACTGCCTCGTACTTTCACCTTCCTGGTTATCCAGACGAGGATGTTATCATTATACCGAATGGGATGCAAACAGTAAGATTTGCTTATGGTTTTCACAAGCAGTGCATTAAAAAAGTATGCCAGTGGAAGGAAATTTTGACCGTTTGTGACCTTTAAAAACAGCAGGAGCGAACCCTTCTATGGAAACATGCATTCTGAACCATACTGTTACATGGGTCAATATTGGTCAAGTGACCCATTGGTTTGTTAAAAGTACTTCAGGGGAAGTGAAAGGAAATTTTGACCGTCTGTGACCTTTTTAACAGCAGAAGGGTTAAATCAGTAAACAAGAATAATCAGGAAACAAATGGCGAGTGTGTTTAAGCATAAGTCTTTCTATCGTTGAAAATGCATATAAACATGTATAAAATTGGAGCATTTCGATTTGCAAATGATGCAAACAATGTGGATTACTTCATGACATTGGATACTTGTCGAAATTCAGTGGTATTACAATTTTGCACAATCAACTTTGAAAATTGTTCGTCCCCAATACTGCGACACCACGTAAGAACGATTCTCTGAGTTCGAAAACGTCAAAGACGTCTTGCACAATGTAAAGAGTATACAATACGACAAGGCTATAGCCAGGTTTTTTGCCCCATAAGGGAGCAAAGGAGAAAGCTATAAAGCTGGTCACATAGCTCACAATATTCCGTTAAACTGTTTCAAAATGACTATTCATTGTGCATTTGTGTATATAATTTTTTTTATTATTTTATTTGGTGGCGCTGCTCATGTGGCGACACGGCCATTTTTTTTGTCTCTGTGTCACTGTATTTTTATCGAGTTTTTAAACCTTTGTAGTGTGTACGTTTTGCACTCAATTAATGCCTCACGATGTCCAATGTACTGTGCTCACCGATGTTTGTGATTTTAGTCGTTTTACTAACGCTGTCATGGAGTGCCGAGAGAATTTTGTGCGCCGTCCAGGACAGTGAAGGTGAGACTCTACCAGTGCTATCGTATAACAGTGAGTTTCTATTGAGTCGACGTACTTCTTCGACAGCACCAGATTACGTAATACCTGCAGAAATATGCCAGGACGCACCCAGAACGAGAAAACGTGGGAGGAAAGGAGGTGTCAGAAACAGGTTGAAAAAATCAAGGTTAAGAACCCCACTCCCAACTGTAATCCAAGGAAACGTTCGAAGTATTCGGAACAAAACGGATGAACTGAGAGCCAACATGCGCTATCTCTCAGATTACCGAGATTCCAGCCTTATATGCCTGACAGAAACCTGGCTAACTGAAAAGGATCCTGACTCAACGGTGAACTTGGACGGGTATACCCTTCTGAGAATGGACAGAAATAAAGACTCAGGAAAAAGAAAAGGTGGGGGTGTATGTGTGTTTGTTAGCGAAAATTATTGCAACCCATCGCATATCACAATCAAGCATCAAATGTGTACCCCAAACATTGAACTACTCGCAGTTCATCTCCGCCCATTCTACTTGCCTAGGGAAATAAATCAGGTTGTGTTACTAGTGGTTTATATTCCTCCTTCAGCAGATGCCAAGACAGCTGCTGACATTATTCATGACCTGGTTTCCCAAGCTGAAACTTCTTCACCTGATGCAGCTAAGTTTATACTGGGTGACTTCAATCAGTGCAATCAATCAGAATGTTTGCCCACATACCACCAATATGTCAACTGCCCCACCCGCCATGACGCCTGCCTGGTCCTTTGTTATGGGAACATACCGGACGCATATCGAGCAAGATCTTTGCCAAGTTTAGGTGACTGATCACAACATGATTCGTCTAATGCCAGTTTATAAACCCCTTATACGGAGACAACCGGCAAAGAAAATCCAAGTGAAATCCTGGTCAAGTCAAGCTACAGAGGCGTTAAGAGAATGCTTAGCATGTACTAACTGGGACGTTCTCATCGACCCGGCGGACGAGCTAGACCAAGCAGCTGAGGTGATTTCAGACTACATCCGCTTTTGTGAAGATATGGTAATTCCTACACAGACAGTTAAAGTGTTTTCTAACAACAAACCGTGGATTACTTCAGAACTTAAACAGCTTTTAAATGAATAAAAGAGACTATTCAATACTGGTACAAGGGATGAACGGAAAGAAATTCAAAAGAGACTGAAACGTAAAATAAAGGAATGGCTTATCAAAACAAAATTGAGGGTTTTTTTTCAGACGACCGACACTAGGAAAGCTTGGCAAGGTCTGC